ATACATTTGTGAGAGAGAGCTCAGCAGTTAAATACACCTACATACAGTTAAGCCTAATGACATGTGTTCAATCTCTAGAGCCCATGGTGGAAGAAAGTTACTCCCTCACATTACCCTCTGATCTCTACATATGCACCATGGCATGTATGTGTACAAATTACACACACACACACACACACACACACACACACACACACACACACACACACACCGGAGATGACAGAATGTAGAAACAATTTAAAACCCATTTTACTGGGCATGCAATGCACTATTCATTCCATGCACTAGAGGGCTACAATTCAAGGCTAGCCTGACCTACCAAAAGAGATTACCTCAAAACAATCTAAGTTCCTCTTCTTTCACATTACTGTTCTCTTTGACTGAGACCCTGCTCAATTAAGGCTTTTCCAGCTAACAATTTCTGCCTACACACACTGCCAAAAGGACTGAAGGATTTCTTTACACTTCTCAGCTATTAACTTTCCATTTCATCTGGTTCAACTTGCTGTTAAACACTCTGACCCAAGGTCACTCTTCCAAGTCAACCTTATCAAACTGCTTTGACAGCACTATTCACACAAGAGTAAAAACATATTCATCTACCTGTCTGTCCACTGTTAGCTATGCTCCAAATTCTTAACTACATACCTAAGTCTAGAACTAAGAATCTGATGGTCGATGGCGAGTCTTCTAAAAGTTTGTAAAAGTGTGTAAGGGGGGAGGGGAGATATGTAAAGCATCCAAATGTCAAAAAGAAAGGAAGGAAAGAAGGGAGGAAGGGAAGGAGGGAGGGAGGGAGAGGAGACAAGACAGACAGACAGACATAGCCTTGAACTCAGGAAAGAAAATATGATTCATACTATATAACCCCCAAACATTTATAGTGGTAACTTTGGCAATTAAAACAATTTAAACATCAAATAGTTTATTCAAAATTGTCTGCATGTTGCTAAACTCAAAGTGTATTCTGTAGTTTTCCTGGGATCTGCAGAGATGGCTAAGTGGTTTGGTGCATTTGATGCTCCTGCACAGGTTGTCTGTAACTCCATTTCCAGAAGACTCAATGCCAATGCCTGTCCTCTGCACACACTGCATACTTGTGGTACATATGCATACATGGATTCTTGCCTCTCATTGTAATACATTTCAGGTGCCAGCCTTCTCTCCCTGAGATCCCAAATCTAATCTATCACCAAGCTTTATCAATTCTGCCTTTCAAGAAGTATTTGTAAAATAAAAGCTACTTCAACTCTACTCTTGTCACCCTAAAGTTTCATCATTTCTTGTCCAAATTACTTAATCTCCAAGTACTTGGAATAGAAAGCAGAATCTTAGATGTGCACCAATCTAGCACTGAGCTACATGTGCAAACCAAATTACTCTAATAGCTATATTCAAAGCTGCTCCACAAACTTTTAAAAACTTTAATAGCCATCTGACATACTAAAACATTCATTCTATCATGTGTTGATGAAACAAGACAATGAGCAAGGCAATCAAGCACAAAGGTTTTCCATGTCTGGTCACACATAAAGCCTCAGATAAACTGTCCCAAGTACTCTACAAAAGCACTCCTTTATTTCCCTAAACAACCTAAAAAAAAAAAAAAAAAAAAAAAAAAAAAAAAAACCTCAGCATGTAGATCCAATTTTAAAAATAAATAAGATATTCAGAAAGGTGAAAAGCTTATCTAAGGTAGCCAGCCAGGAACGGGTAGATTTGATAGGAGGTAGCAAATGGTAACAGACTCTAAGTCATTCTTTGTCACTGCATAGCTTACTCAACTATGGAAGTAATACTGTTTCAGGTTCCTCACTTGCCAAAAGGGAATGGCAACAAAGCCTTCTTTAAAGGATTCCCAGTCTAAATAAGTTAATATGTGAGTATGTGTTTGACACAATGTTCTGTAAACATTAGCCACTATCATTATTTTTAATATCAATACCAGCCCTCATTTCAATGGATCTGCTTACTTAGTGCCATCCATCAGTGCCATACTAGATTATAACTGGGTTGGTGGTAGGGAGGTTATTATCATCTTTACCTCTAACAAAGCATTCTAGATCCAAGTCTCTGAAGAAATTAATTCCTAGAAATTTGACTGCAGTCAGTATTTTGTTCTCTGAACTAATCATTCTCTCAAGAATGGTACACAGCTAATATCATGAAAGATGCTCAGGAGATGAATCACTAATATTTTTAGAAGAAATGAACCTTTATAAATTAAAGGAATAGTGCTAAGTGACAGATACTATATGCCAACTTTCTCCCCTCTCCCCCCTCAAAGTTTCTACAAGCATAAAAGTCAGAATCTATGAGTTATTTTTCTTCTAATTGTACTGCCTATATTATTTTAAAGACAAAAAACAAATGCAAATATGAGCAAACCCAAGAAACTAATATTAGTAACAACTAGATTGAAGGTGGGAGACAGATTCGAGATATGCAAAATTTAAGACTATTCTAGGCTAAGGCATAACTTTAGTAAAGTCAGTGTCACCCAAAGCATAATGCACATTCCATATGTAATACTAAAACCATTTCATATTCTAAGTGGGAAAATGTCTTTATTTCAAAAGTTATATACCATGGTGATCTGAATGAGAAATGTCTCCCATGGGTTCATGTGACTGAACACTTGGTCCAACTAGCAGTACTGTTTTGGGAGGCTACAGAATGTCTAACTTAGGTGGTTCAGTCTTGCTGGAGGGAGTACATCATTGGGAGATGGCTTTGGGAGTTCCTAGCATTGCCCCATCTCCAACTTACTGCAATATATTTAATTACACTGTATAAATATGTGTCTCTGTGATTGGTGTGATAAAAAGCCAAATGGTCAATAGCTAGGCAGGGAGAATAGACTTCCAGGCAAAAACAGGAACTAGGAATGAATCTACATACACAGAGGAGACACCAGGAGACTGAGAACAAGTCAGAGGTACAGAAAGCAAAAAAAGGTAAAAGGGCATGTGGTAGAACATAAACTAAAAAGTATGGGTTACTTTAAGGTATAAGAGCTAGTTAGGAACAAGCCTAAGCTATAGGCCAAGCTTTCATATTTAATAAGAAGTCTCTGTGTCATCATTTGGGAGCTGGCTGGCAGGGCAAAGAAAGACCTGCTACACCAATTCTTGCTCTCTCTGGTTTCTGTGTGTGTAGTAAATAAACACTATTTTGGCTTTTCACTCAAGACTACCTGCTGTGACACCTTTACCACCTTCAGGGACGCTCCCTCTCCAACTGTACTTGAAAATACATTCTTTATGTTGTTTTGGGTTAATGGCATTTTATCAAAGCAACAGGAAAATAACTAATAACTAATACATGTACATAGATATTTCTGTGTAATTAGGAGAGCAAGTAGTTCAAGTTTTTATTACTTAGGATAATAAAGTGAATCAAAAATATCTTACATTACAGTTCATAAAAGATAAACAAATAAAGAAAAGAAAAAAAAAGTTACCACTTACAAGTGAGTAAATTCTAGTAACCAGCCAGTCTTCTAGATGAAGGCAGAGCTTTGCCTCATGTAATGATTCAATATAAAAGTCATGTATAAAGACTGCCATCCCAGCTCTCAGTATTAATATTAAAGTCATCATGTAATACTAAAATCATCATGTAATTTTTCGAAGGTGAAAAATCTGCTTCATACTTCATTTGTTCTCAAAACAATGTAAACAAACGTTTTACAAGTTCTAGATATTTGAAATATGAACTACCCAACTTTCTTATGCAAAAATGGGAAACACAAAGCTAAAACCTTATATTTCAAAGACGAAATATTAACTGACATAATAATGCAGTCCAAATCATATATACATTATACATCAAAAAAAAAAAAGGATGTAATTCTCAACTACCTTCCTTTTCTATCATCAACTTAACTTACCAACAACCACATCAAGTTAGGCTAAATGATGATAAAGGTCACGTTTCTGAAGCATTTGCTGTATCCTAAGCACTTTCAACTTTAACTGCATTAACTTGTGCAAGCACTACTGCCAAACAGTTTTATCATCATCTCCTTCATACTAAAGGCTAGAGATATAAAATTACTTTCTCAAATTCAGAACAGAGGTAGGGAGTTCGGCAATTCAACTACACTCTCTAAGCTCCTAATCATGAGGCAATACTTCTCTCAAAAATGATTGCATAAAAACTTAAAATATTCTGCCACTCTTATAATCAGATGGAGGGGGGAGAGTGATTTTCTGAGTTACAAGCGTTTCACTACTTCACTTTCCTGCCCAATAAACAGTGGATTTCAACTGCAGAAGAAAATAAGAAAAATTTCCTAATGGGTCAAACTAAGCCCCAAATTATTCAGATATAGAAGTGTCAGAAACGTAGGAATAATGGGCAGGCAACTTAACCATAATAGTCAGTCCTGGAAATAGACAGGGTAGCTTTTATTTCTACAGGGACAATCAATTCCTTCGAGGGAGAAAATTCCATCACCCCTTTCAGCACAGAAATATACATACTTAAGAAGGAGAATTAGGGGCAAGACAGCCGCAAAGGAGAAAAGGGGGAAGACAAACTGTCGATATTCAAAAATTAGACCCAGAATCACGGAGTTAGCTTGTCCCATCCTGGTAAATAAGAGAAAGTGTGTGTGATTGGAGACGCACACTCCAGTGGTCTGGAGAGAGGAAAAGTCGCCCTAAAATGAGCTAACAGGGACGACAGTTTTCAACACCCAAGCTTGAGATGACGGGGTCGGCTGAAGACGACAGAGGGGTGCAGCTGCCTGCTTTGGAAAGAAAGGGAAAGGCATAACGGTGCAGCCTTAAATACGAAGGTGAAGGTGAGGAGGGAGTTCATATGCAAACGAAAGGGACCTAAGGGCAAAGCAGCGGGTTCCCGTAGGGCCTGGGACGTCCTGAGGAAGCAGAACCGCCAGAGGGAGGGCCCCGGGGACAAGGCCGGGGGGCACGAACGGAGCAGCGGCGCCGAGCGGAGCCGGCCCAGTATCGGGCGGCGGCAGGAGCACCTACCCGGACACGCGGGGCGGCGGGCGGACCCTCGGCGGCCCCGGGGGCCGAGGCTGAGGCGGCGGCGAGCTCCTGCAGCGGGCGCCCCGGCCAAGCCGCATCCTCCTCCCGGCCTCCCTCCTTGCTCTCACAGGCTGCTTAACTTCTTCCTCACAGTAAACACAGGCAGCCGCCACAGGCTGCGATTAGCCCAAGCCCCTGCCCGGCCTTGGGGCTCGGGCGTCCAGTTTCCGCCCCGCTAGTCACCAGGGCGCGTGCGCGGGAGAGCTCTTCCTGCTCTGCGGCTGGGAATTTCCGGCGGCCGGTGTTTCTGCTATGCTGTGGTCCTGAAAGTGTTAGGCAGTTTACTACTAACCTCACGCCCGCACCTCCCAGCAGAAAACTGCCCTGTGATGCCTCCTAACTCAGAAAATTCCACACAGTGATAAAGAATGAGGGCCCAGTGCCCTTTAGGATGCAACAGGGTGTAACATGTAATCACCTCACATCCTGAGCCCCAAACTGTACTAATAGCGGAAAACTAAATCAGTGTGGGTAAATCATTGAAGATAAGACACTTTAGGTTGGAGAAAATGAAGGGGACTTTACATACAAGTGAGAAGTGGGGATACAGAAGTTAGTGCTTCATCTCTTTAGTCATTTGGAGTTTAAAGAAATGAACGACAAAAAAAAAAAAAAAAAAAAAAAAAAAAAGAAAGAAAGAAAGAAAAAAGAAATGGACGACACCAGAACTTATAATTGACACACTTATAACAGTGACTCCTCTTGTTCCTACAACAAAATGCGAAAGGAAAACAAGGAAGGGGTGGGGGCTATATTTTGCTTGCTCATGATTGCATGTTATGGTTCATCATGGCAATGGCAATGGAGACATGGTCTTAGGAGCTCGGGACCTCTGATCACATTGCAACCACCATAAGGAAGCAGAATGATGAATGCCAACTGTCAGGTCACTGTCTTTTTACTCAAACCTACCAAGCTGACAAATTTAACTATCACAGATCCACCCCTTGTTAACTGAACACCTGGATGACAACATAAATATTATCAGAATCAGCAGTTACAGGAGGATATTTACTGGGAAGTGAGGAAACATGCTTACAGCATATGTACAGAGACAAAGACCTGGAAAAAACAGAAGGGTGACTTGAAAAGCCAAAAATCCAGTGTTTTCATGAGGGATGTTTTTGTTTGTTTGTTTTTGTTTTTTCTTTGTTTTTTTTTTAAGCCTCTGAGGAGTTGTTATCCCTTACTTTGGAGGTTCAACAGATACGATGGTTGATTGGTTCATAACTGTTACCCAGACCATCAACCAGGGGGGATATGTTTGGAGACAAAAGCTGCAAGACTTATGTCTCAAGTCAAGAAGGTGAGGAAGAAACTGTACACCTTGGAAATCTGGCATCTTTATTACCTAGCCATGGTGTCTAGCTCTATCTTTCTGCCTACCAGGAAGTCCCCCTAACTGACCACTCTCAGAGATCTCCTTAACTCTCTTAAGAGGTATGGAGGCCATGAATGCTTAGCTGCTTTGAGCTGACAGAGGGTTGATGATGGGAGCAGCAGTCAGAATTACTCAGATGATCTAAGGGACCACAATAAAACTTAACTGCTGGTAATGATCCAGAGCATAAGACAGTCATTTGGTGACTTAGGGTCTCTGATGTTGTGAAGAGACACCATGAGCACAGCAACTCTTATAAAGGAAACATTTAATTGGGGTGGCTTGCTTACAATTTCAGAGGTGCAGTGCATTATCCTCATGGCAGGAGCATGATAGCCTGCAGGCAGACATTGTACTGGAGCCGAGAGTGCTACATCTTCACTCAGAAGCAACAGGAAGTCAACTGACTATCACACTGAGGGAAGCTTGAGAAAAAGAGACTTCAAAGCAGACCCCCAAAATGACATACTTCCTTCATGGCCAGACATCCTAATAGTTCCCCTTCTATTGGGGGCCATCTTCTTTCAAACCACCACAGTAATGATGTGTATATTAGAACTTGTCATATGAGTGGAATACCATCTGTAATATATAAAAAGGGAGACTTCTTAGTACTTACAAGGACAGTTGGAAAAATAACTGGGGCAGTTTTGCCCTTTCTATAGGAAGAGAACTGGCAAGAAAATCATCCCAAGAATTCTTGGCAGAATTTTTCATAGATAACAATGACAATGATGATTTCTCTGCCATCATTGCCTACTATAGAATGTGTATATCTTGGAGGTGGCCATTTGTCTAGTTCAGGACTGCAGGATGCCTTTTGTCAGAGTTTCCTTTATTACAAACCTTAGGGGACCATTAAAGGACAAGGTTAAAGAAGAAAGATATAGACATCATGATTAACATAAATTTTGTTTAGTAAGTTAAACTGTGACTGTGCACCAGAGCCCCATAAAATTGAAGGACTGTTTGGAAACCTCACATAAGAAGTTGATATTAATCAGTCCCTCCCAACAATATATATCATACTTAATATTTGATGGAAGAGGATAAGAGAGGAAAAGCTTGGATGAAGCCTGTGTCCTATCCGATCATCCATTGAAGGCAAAACCAACTACCATATTATTTTATTCTTTTTTATTATATCTATTCATTTATTTTACAACTAAACTGCAGTTTCCCCGTCCTTCTGCCCCTGCCAGGCCAATGCACTCCTCCTCTGCCTCTGTTCAGAAAGGCACAGGGCCTCCCATTCATGTCAACAAAGCATACCATATCAAGTTGATATAGGCTAAGCACTCCCCACCCCATCACACACACCATATTACAGCTGGGCAAGGCAACCCAGAATAGTGTGTAGGTTCCAAAAAGCCAGCTAAAGTGTTAGGGGCAGGCCCTGCTCCCACTGCTAGGAGTTCTACAAGTAGACCAAGCTACACAGCAGTCAGGCATATGTTGATAGCACAGGTCAGTCCCAGTTGACATTCTGAAATGGAAATACAGTGCCATTGTGTTTTTCTTAATAGAATTGTCCATTGAAGTTCCATGGCTACACCATTGGTACTTTGAGTAATTTCTCCTAATCCTGTCATTTTTGACAATAGAATATTTAATTGCCTCATTAAATCAAAGAACATGGGTGAGTGGGACACAGCATGCCACATTGCAGTTGTGGGATGATGTCTTCCAGAGGAGTGAGGTACCATAAGTATTGAAAATACGGTTGAATTTACCCTCAGAATTTAGAAGGGTGAGCCACTGGCCCATAGCTTAAATATTGTTTGAACTAGAATGACCAGTAGATCCTGTTGGGCTTATGTACAATCTTCCTCTCAGGATATATTAGACACACACTTCTAGAAAATCTGTTCTGTGGCCTTTGTCTATTCTTTTACCCTAAATTTATTTTGTTATGTAGTCCACCTCTTTCATTCTTCTTGTTTTAATATTCTGACTCTGTGTCCACTTTAGATAGTGAGTGTCTCTCCTCTGAAGTGGCTCATTGTATTTGTCCTGCAACCCATAAGAATGTGCCAGTTTCCCCAAGTATGTCTCTTCTATTATGAAGGGGATCTGTAGCCATAGGGCATTCACAGTCTGTTATTTCTTTCAGCCAAGTTTGGGATAGCCACCAGAGGAACTGAGTCTGTTAGAGGACTATGGTTTGCGTACAATTGGTATAAGATCAATAAATCTAGAATCTAGACATAGCCTATTGATGGATGAGAGTAGTTGGGACCACTCCCAGGTAAGCAAAGATTAAAGTTTGCCAGAGGGGCTCTCAGATCCTTCCAACTGACAGGGTATTTGGGGGCTTTTGGGTCATTTTAGTCATGCCAGACTCAGCCTGAAAAAATGAGCATAGCTCTGGAAGGCCTATGGAGAACTTTTACTGAGGTCTAGGCCCAAATGAACATACTTTAGAAAATTATTTCCTCTAATGTAGTTCTAAGGTGATCTTGTTTCATCTCAGAATAAGGGGCCATGCTGAAGAGTAGGAAATGACAGACCTGTGTGAGCCCTTTGCCAGATGTTGGCATTAAATTTATCTTTAAATCTTACCAGAATCAGTGGTGGTGCAATGGACTTTGTTTCCATCTGTCTGTTTCTTAGAATCTGGTTCAAAGAACTTGAGTCCAGGAGGGGCACTTGACTAAAGAGGGTTCTATCAAGCCTGTTAAAAGTGTCACCATTCAAAAGAGTGGCCACAGATACATTTTAGACATCAAGAGGGGTACACCAACAGGGTGCCTCCCTTATAGAGTATTGACACATTCAGAGCTGCCTGAGGTATCCTGTTGGCTTGCAAGTATACCTAAAACCCACAGCTTCGAGGGTTTCAATAGCTGTGTAGGGCTGGACACAAATGTGATGGATCTGGACACCTAATTCTGCAACTCAAACTGCCATGGGAGTAGACAGGAAAACATGATCTAGTGTTTTGACTAGTACCAAATCTCTAGATCCAAAGAGGTAGGGGTCCTGTTTATTCTTCCCTGAGAAGTCCTGTTTGTAGCTCTTGTATAGGTCACCTGTTTGGTGGTTTCATGGTCCAGTATAAGAACATAAATGAAGAAAGACCTGCTATACAGAGACTCAAAAGTTGTGAGGACCTAGTAAGCAGGCACATTCCTAGGTCTGAACAGAGCTGGGGGGGGGCAACAGTTTTATGTGCATTAGTGTTTTGCCTGCATGGGCTTCTGTGTGAGGGTGTCATAAGCCCTGGAATGGGAATTACAGACAGGTGTGAGCTGCCATGTGGGTGCTGGGAATTGAACCTGGGGCCTCTGGAAGAGCAGGCAGTGCTCTTGACCACTGAGGAGCCATCTCTCTAGCTGTCCTGTATTTTCTTCTTCTTCTTCTTCTTCTTCTTCTTCTTCTTCTTCTTCTTCTTCTTCTTCTTCTTCTTCTTCTCTCTCTCTCTCTCTCTCTCTCTCTCTCTCTCTCTCTCTCACAATGTCCTGTAAACCTTTCCTTTGCCCAAATAAATGTATTTCCCTGTACCAAGTGATACATATGATATAGAAACTTTAAGGTTTTCAGTTGTAGGACCTTTGTCAACAACAGTTGGTCCTTGGATGATAATCACCATTCCTGGGCAAAGGTCATTTCCTCAGAATAATACTTGGATATCTCTAGAGGCAGCAAGAACTCTGCAGAGGATGGGACATTCAAGGTGTCCCAATGCAGCTCTCTTGGCTTCAGAGTCATCCTTCCTGTTTCTCCTTACTATTGAGTCATCCCATTCCTGATGCTCAGGAAGTTGATCAGGGCCACCAGGGTGAATAAAAGGACTGCATCCAGAATCATTAGAATTTC